CTGGAACTAAAAATCCCAGATAGAGGGCACACCTGTGAGGATTTTTTTTGCTTAATTAGAAGTAGGAAAATCAACTTCTTTTTTGAGACAGGGCTTCTTTGTACACAAGGCTGCAGCCTTGGCTGTACTAGAACTAGCTCTGTAGACCAGGCTGGCCTAGAACTGAGACATTCAACTGATTTTGCCTCCTGAGTTTTGGGATTAAAGGCAAGCACCACCATTACATGGTTGGAAGATCCACTTCTAATCTAGGTCTTTGAGTTAGGAATACACACATACACACACACACACACACACACACACACACACACACACACACACACCTTTAATCCAGGTCTTTCAAACTGGGAAAGGACAACCCTTTAATTCAGTTCTTGAGGAGGGAAGACATACCTTTAATCTGGGCTACACCTTCTGTTAGATACCTATAAAGGACATGGCCAGCCATTGTTGGATTAGCTGTACCACAGCCTGTAAGTCATTATAATAAATCCCCCATATATACTTATTATAACGTATATAGATGGATAGATAGATTCAGTCTATAAATTCTGTTACTCTAGAGAGCCCTGGCCAATAACCATGTGTTTAGTTTATTATAAGCTAAGTAAAGGTCTAGGGGTCAGTGATTCTCAATTAGGTATTTTGCCCACTTGGCAAAATTTAGCACTATCTGGGGCCACTGATTTTTTTCATTGCTGAGGTTCAAATTCAGGGCCTCATACAATAGGCTGTGCCATACCTTTGAATAGTATCTTCACTCATAGAAAGGGAGAATAGAGGATTACTGGCAGTGGGTAGAGCATAAGGATGGTGTTAAAAAGACAGAACAAAACATCGTGACGAAAATTTGCCCAACCCCAAATGTCAGTTGAGAAATCTGGCTCCAGATTCTTCTACTAGGGGAATTTGGTGTGTGTGTGTGTGTGTGTGTGTGTGTGTGTGTGTGTGTGTGTGTTGGGGGGAGATTCAGAGAATTACTGTGACAGTGACAAAAAAGTCAAATGCTTTTTAGACACTACTCTATCCTCTATACAGAAAATGGATCCTGGGTTTTAGCAGAGGGAGAGGCCTGGACTCAGTCTTGTCCACTCCCTTGGGGAAGAAAAAGCCTCACAACTTATTTTACCAAAGCAGTCACCTTAGGTGTTCACAGACAAGGCTGTGGAGTCATGGGTTGTAAAACATGTCCAGTCACACTGTCATACTAAGAAACATAAGACTGAAGTGAGCCTCTCATGGTGGATTAACTATACTTTGTTAATTCCCCAAAGTAGAACTATAGACACACACCTATAATTCTTGAAATTGGAAGGCTGAATCAGGAGACTGGGAGTTCAAAGCTGACATGGAATGCATAGAAAGACTTTTTTTTAAAAGTAGGAGAACCATAAATTTTAGGGGGCATATGAGCACTCGGTTTCTTCCCAAGCAACATGTGCGTTCTGTAACCATCACACACAGGCTGTGTGACTCCAAAAGAAGCTGAGGACTCCACCCAGGCATCAGAGCTTTAGCCTCTTAAAACTGAAAATGGGTTTGTTCCTCCTGACTTCTGAAGAATTCAGATGTGCTTGGTCAATTGAAAACAACGTTGGAAGAGCAACCTGGGGAATTCTGCCACTGTAGTCTTCTGCTTTAATACTGGCAGCCTGAGGGAAAGGTGATCTTGACTCAGTCAGGGCCATTCAGGGAAGACTGAAGCACACAAGTGTAGTACTGGGGAGGGTTCTCTTCCTTCTCCCCTGCTAGCTAGGCATGGGATTGCAGGGGGGTGGGAAGGCCAAGCATTGTTGGATGGGTGGCCAAAAAGAATGCCTCTAAAAAATAGCCCCTACCCTCAGTGAGGTCTGGAGTCTAGGGATTCAGGATAGCTTGGGAATAGAATCTCCTTCTTGGTTTCTGCATCTCCACAGGTAAAACTCAGCCACAGCAAAAACTCAAGTGTTAGGAGCTGATCTTCTATAGCTGCCTGAATGGCAGTAAATGAATGAGAACTTGTAACTCTAGGCTTTATACATCCCAGTTCCAAGTATCTCTATGGTTTTCAGAACCGACAGCTAGTCTTCCAGACTTGATACGGTTGATGCACACATCAATTCACAAGCAGCCTTGGTTGTCTACATAAGACCTCCACAAGACCAAACCAGTCAAAATTTCATCATGGAGAGAGGGATCTCTCAAAACTCCATCCTTAGCTGATGAGTTATTGACAGTTGATGGCTAATGAGAGAGGAGTTAATTTTCTTTACAGCATGGCCTTTTATAGGTTGTCCATGTCCCAGTGGATGACTCCATGCCCATTCTCACATGGTAAGCACTAACTGGATTCAGTAATAAAAAAGAGGGCATTGAGTCAGAAGGAAAATGGGTTGGTGGGTCTCTAGAGGAATTGTATAGGAAGGCAGTTGGGATGGATACAATCAAAATACATTGTACATATATGATAATTTCAAAGAATTAATAAGATTCTTTGGTCGAAGATTGTACAAGTGCATATAGCGAATCATTTTTGGTTTGCCATCTAAGCCTCACTTCTGTTTGGAGAACTTTCTAATTCATAAAAGGTAGAGGTTGCCAGTCACTAGAAAAGTAGTAAGATGAGGACATTGTGAGCTAGGTTTGGCTATTATGAAGTATCAAACTTTGAATTAGAAGCCAGAGATAAAAAGATGAAGGAAGGAACAATCATTTTGGTGGTGGACAATGCAGCAATAACAACTACTATTATCATGTTACTAGTGCAGCAGAAGCGAAAGGCAGTGGTCTATGCTCAGTGTTGTAGACAACGGTTACAAAACAGTGGCACCCAACGTAGCCTTGCAATCCCTAGAATAGCTTTGCAATTTTAGGATGGCCCTAACCATAGCCCATTCTCCCCTTACCCTCTTTACTTTCAAAGGAAGTGTGATGGCTGTTCTTGGTTGTCAACTTGACTACATCTGGACTGAACTACAATCCAGAAATGGAGGGCACAACTCTGAGAGATTATTTTTCCCTTCGTGAATACAGTCCTGGTCTGGACCCTTGAGGCAGGAAGACACACACTCTGCTGCAGATCTGAAGTGGTAAGACACACACCTCTGATGCAGATCTTGAGGTGTGAAGACACAACTTTAATCTGGACCGCACCTTTTCCTGGAAGCCTTTATAAGGACATGGCGGAAGGAAACTTTTGCTTTTTGCCTGTTCATTCTCTCCTACTAGTAAGTCCATTCTTCCACTGGCATTACAGCCTGCTTCTTCAGGATTCCAAGAACCTACTGAAGATCAGCTGAGACTCCTAACCTTGTGAACTGAGCAGCTACTGGATTCTTGGACTTTTCATTCATAGCCAACTGTTATTGGATTGGCTGGACTGCAGCCTGTAAGTCATTCTGATAAATCTTCCATCTATATTCATTCTATAAGTTCTGTTACTCTAGAGAACCCTAACTAATAAAGAAGGTTTTTCTGAACATCCTAGTAGTTATTTGAACCAACTGATATATTTTCTTTTTTACATAAAAATACAAAGTTAGCTTTTTTATTATAATTAGAAACCTTTTATAGAAGTTAATATCATGAGATGGGATACATAGAGCAACAGGACTTAACATTTAAACTGTCTAAATACATAAATGTATAGGGCAGTGGGACATCAGAGTTTTGAGCTGGGCAGTTGGTGTTCTTTGTTATGGAATGATACAATCAGGTTTTTTTATGCATGTGTAGGTTTTGTAGTGTGTGTGTGTGTGTGTGTGTGTGTGTGTGTGTGTGTGTGGGCGCGCGCGCACGCATGTGAATATGTAGGTGGCTGTGCTTGCAAACATCACAGGAGGATGCCAGTGTCTTCCTTTGTCACTCTCAGGGGACTTGATACTTATGACAGGCTGGGCCAGCTCACCATCAAGGTCTTAGGACCTGTCTGTCTCTGTGATACAGGCACTCATCCATGCCCATCTTTTTACATGGGTGACAGAAGTTTGAACCCAGATCCTGATGTTTGCAAAACAAGTAGTACTATCCAGTGAAACCCCCCTCCCCAACTCCACAATAGTTATTTCTTAAAGAATTTGCCCAAGTTGTGAAAGAGGGAGAGTAAGTTGAAAGATGGCCTCTCTGAGGGCAGACAACATGAAGAAAATAGGACTTAACATTGAAAGACTCCTTCTGCCTACAACTTGTTATCTAAGTGATTGAAATCCAATCATTTGAAACTGTTTGATCAAAATAATTTAATTTTCATTTGAAGATACATTTAGTACAAAGAGGTATTCAGTGAATAGGAAGTGCTTGGTAGACCTGCAGTCCCACAGGAGACCTGGGTTATAAAATGGACTCAGAGCCAAGGGAGGGAGAATCTTGACAATTCTGGGGTTTTTGTTTTTGGTTTTTTTCTTAAGGGAGTAAACAGAGAACTTAGATTCAAAAGTCCTTTGAAGAAGTGAAAAACCTCTGTGGGACAAGTTCCTCTGAGTATCCCAGGTTACTGTATAACAGCATTACCAAGCACTTGCTAACTGATTTCAACAGAATGCTGCTCGCTGACAACTATACCGCAAGGAATGCTGGGTAGTTTGCATTCTGTCTTCCAAAGCTTTAGTCGTCTTCAGTTTATTGACTTAGTTTGGGTTTTGCAAATAAAATACTGGTCCTTTTCCAGACTGGTAGCTGAGAAACCAGCATAGGACTGATCGAGACCCCCCTGAACGTGGGTATTAGTTAGGAGGCCTGGGCAGTTTATGGAACCTCTGGTAGTGGATCAGTATTTATCCCTAGTATGCTAACGGACTCTGGGAGACCATTCCACATAGAGGGATACACTCTCAGGCTAAACAAACAGGGGAGGACCTAGGCCCTGTCCCAAATGATACAACAGACTTTGAAAATTCCCCATGGAAGGCCTCACCCTCCCTGGGTAGCAGAAAGGGGATGGGATAGGGGGCTAGTGGGGGGGGCAGGGGAGGAGGGGAGGGAGAGGGAACTGGGATTGACATGTAAAACAAGCTTGTTTCTAATTTAAATAAAAAATCACAAAAAATACTGGTCCTTTTATAGAATGACCTCAGGCAACAAAGAATTCATTCTTCGTACGTCGCTTCATCTGGAGAGTGAGAGGGAAACTGAGACACAGAGCCTTGATCAGGTCTTGAGGTAACTGGGATCATCTTCCAGAATAAAGCAGAGAGTCAAATGAGACATCTTCAGACTTTGTGCCTTGTGCTCAGCCGTCTGAGACAGATGTTTCATATCCTGGCTGTTTTTCTTTGGGTTTTGTTACCTAACCCAGCAAATAGTGAGATGCTTGAACTCACATCGTCTATTTTGTCTGCTACAACAAAGATGCAATGCTGTATCAGGAGCTCTCTGCTCCGTCTGTGTGAGCTGCAGAGCAGGTTGCCTGCTTGGGAAGCCTCGCTGCCTTGTCCACAGATACGCCTGTGCAGAGCGGTCACCAGGGAATTGATTGGAGATGGGTACAGACGTGCAGCTCCCGTCACAGAGAACTTGGGACCTACGGGCAGGCTCAGTGTGTATTTTTATTCTTCCGTCTTCCTTCAAAAAGTCCTTTCACCGGGTGTCTGGGGGTCAGCTCTCCGGTAGTGTCACACTGGCATAAACTGTGGTGGGGTTTGGTTCCTGCGGGCAAAGAAGGTCATGAGTGAGGAGGCAGGGGAGAAGGTCACAGGCAGTGAACAAAGCAGCATTCCCTGAGAGAAGGAATGGCTTAGAGTTCATGCAGCACAGCTTTGAGTCTGTCACAGTCTGGACATTGCTAGAGCCACCACTCAGGTCTCCAAGCGCCTACCTGCAAACGGGGCTGTGTCTCTCTTCCAAGCATGTGTGCCGCCAAGGAAATGAGAGATGTGTCCCCAGTTATCTGAAGACTGGCCACGCCCTTCCCTCCCTCCTCTTCCCTCTCCTCCACTCCCTCTTCTCCTCTGGAAGAAACTCCCTTAAGTCAGGACATCTGCCATGCCGTGCTCTGCCGTGTCTTCACATGATAGACTGAATCGTCCACAACGGCAAACCCCTTCATGTTGTTCTCTTAGTTATTTTGGTCACAGTAACATAAAAATAGTTAACAGCCCTCCCATAGGGCCAAGAGAGTCAGAGGAAAAGCAAAGTCAGAAAAGCTCACATCCTGGCAGATAGGAAACAGAAACGAGGGATACCAAAAGAGACTACAGCAACATAATCCTCTTTCAAGGACACAGTGGGTGGGCTTCCTCCAACTAGGCCTCACCATGTCCTAACAGCATAGCTGTGTTTTGAGTATATTATGGATCAGAAACCTGTCAATCAGGTAAGAACCCTCACCATCTATTGCCCCTGGAGATGCCCTCGAAGACACACCCAAAGCTATGCGTCACCAATTTCTTAGGCACCTCTTAATCCAATCAAGCTGACAACCAAAAATAACCATCACTGAGTTCTCCAACAGTTCTTTTCTCCCTCTCCATCTTCCTTCCCTCCCTCTCACTGTCAGGCCCAGGGTACAGTTTGGGGAAGCCAAAAGAGGTCTAAGTTATTGAGTTTTTATAGGGACCAGTGAGGTCCAAATGTGGATGAGAGAAGTGGTACCTGCTCGTTGTTTTCTAACCAGTACGCCAGGTGTTCCAGATGTGTCCTTGGACGACTCTCAGGGAAACACTAGTCAGTAGATAGTGGCTCACGGTCCGTGAGCCTGAATGAACGGTTTTGTGTAATTAACCATGGCTGCAACTATTCCTTGCTGCTTGTGTGGTCTAGACTACTCTCCTAGTCCACATCTCTGCCCTAAAATGACTAAACAACAACCTTCCTCCTCCTCTTCTCTGCCTCTCTCCAGACACTCAGTGAGAAGGGGGAGAGTTGCCTCACCTGGACTGACTCTGGAGCAGGCTCTGTGGCAGCCACATAAATGGTCGTGCAGGGGTCCTGATCAGTCAGGGCATCATCAAGTTTCTTCTCTACAGGCTACAAGGGAAGCGGAGGAAACAGATTAGTTGAGCAGAAAGCTGGGCCCCAGCCCACAGAAAAGTAGCTCACATTCAAAACCTCCTTAGTTACTGGCTCTAACTTCCTCCCTGGCGAGAATTCTCCCAAACTTCCCTGTAGTTCACTTTGCTAGCCACTCCCAGAGTGACATCTTGGGACTTACAACTTCCCAAGGCAACATCATTCCTTATTTGCACTCCAGAGAAGAAATGTTCATCTCAACTGCCATGCATTTCTTAGATACCACGGTTTATAGAAAAATTTAATTTAATGAAACATGTCTGATTAGGGATGAGACAGGTGAGGAACGGATGGAAGCGCTTTATTAATCAACTTCCATTCACTGGTGCGCCCTTTGCCTCTTCTCCTGGCTGGGGGAACTTCAGTGTGACCAGACCTAAATGTAGGGATGAAGGGTGGGTAAATCACTTATATGTTCTGCCTTCAGTTGGGAAATTTTACAAAGAGGAGAGTACTTGGAGCAATGTTGTTGAATTTCCCTCTAAGATTTTTATCTAGGTATAAGGAATTACTCTAAACACAATTTAACAAGGTAGCCCATTTTTGTTTCTCATGTCTTCAGTTAGGAGCACTGATTCTCACGTCTCCAGGGATACCACATTGGAGCAACATCAGGTGTGTAACTTGTTTTTGCTACTCTTTGTGAAAGGAAGGCCTTGAAATGACAGTGTACGGCAGCAGCCATGCTAAGTCCTGGAGTAGTTTCTAAAAGACAATCAACAGTTGTTTAATTTTCTATGTTATTATGTTCTGTTTTCACTTTTTTGAGACATGGTCTCACTGTGTAGCCTTGGCTGGACTGGAACTCCCTATGTAGACCAAGCTTGCCTCAAACTCATAGAGAGCCACCTGCCTCTGCTTTCTGAATGCTGGAATTTAAGGTGTGCCCCATGACACCTGGCTGTTACTATGCATTATATAAAGATATTGTGCAGCCATTATGATGAAAATGAAAGAAATGCTAATTTTTGAATAATTATTTGTTATCATCTTTGTAGTGATAACATGATAGCATGATAAACATAAATGAAAGGAATTGTAAGGATATAGGTAAGTCTATGTATTGATATATAAAACAATAATAATGTCTTATATATTTAAAATACACATAAATTTAAAAAAACATAAAAATAGAACATAAATCAAGATTCAAAATTATAGTATAGCTAAAGTATTGTACTGGAGTATAAAGAATAAAAGGAACAAATGTGCGTTAGTAAGTCAGGGATCTAATGGACAATGGTGGCATATGCCTTTAGTCCCAGCATTTGTGAGACAGAGGAAGACAAATCTCTGTGACTTCCAGGCCAGGCTGGTCTACATAGCTAGTTGTATGACAGACAAGGCTAGAAACCCTGTCTTGAAAAACAAAGTAAAACAACAACAATAAAAACCACAAAAAAGAAAACAAAATGCATTAAGAACTAAGGGATGTATTTTGTAATTTCTAGGATATCCACTAAAAATGGAGAAAAGTTATTTAAATACTAATGAAATACAGAATAAAGTGGAATGATAAAAGTATAAGTTTAAAAAATCCTCCATCAAAGAAACCCCAGTCTCAGAGAGACTGTCATCTAAAACTTCTGCCAAATACATAAGGTAAGAAATGTGATCTATCCCACCCAAACATTTTCAGAGAGTCATGAAAAAAAATATGTTTGTTGGTGAGCTGAATTGTGGCCGCCAAAAGATACGTGCCACCAGAGTCAGGGTGTGCCATTTTGTGGCATTAAGGCCTAGGCAGAGGCGTAGATAAGACAGATAGTCAGAACACTGAGGTGAGGTCACTGGGTCAGAGGGGCCCACATCCAGTGTAGGATGCCCTAAGGGGCGGAAAGGAGAAGGCAGAGGTGCAGATAGCAATGTTACATGGAGATGGAGGCAGAGACTGTGGTGCAACCACAAACCAACAGATGTTGAAGTTTGGAGCCATCGGATCACACTGAGGTAAAAGCTTGTTCCAAGAGATCTCAGAGGATTTGGGGTGCTGCCATTATGTCACTTTCATTTTGGATTAATGGTTTCCAGAACTGAAGTAAACTAAATTCTGGTTGCTTAAACCACCAAGTTTGTAATAATTTGCTATGACAGTCTGACTGAAAGAATACAAGCCTCACCATTTGTGAGGTTAGCATAAACGTGATACAAAAACCTCACAGAGTTGCTATGAGGAAGGAGGATGACAGGCCAGTTTCACCCAGAAACAACTAAGTGTGTGTGTGTGTGTGTGTGTGTGTGTGTGTGTGTGTGTGTGTGTGTGTTCTTCCAGGGCTGGAACTGAAGCCAGGGCTTCATGCATTTCATACATGCTGGCAAGCACTTTATCACTGAGTTATATCTCTAGCCCCAGACAATATTAATTCTCTCTCTCTCTCTCTCTCTCTCTCTCTCTCTCTCTCTCTCTCTCTCTCTCTCTCTCTCTCTCTCTCTCTCTTTAATTTTTTAAGACAGGTAGGTAACCCTGTTGGTTTGAAACTTTTTACATAGTCCAGGCTAGCCTTGGATTTGCTATCCTCTTGCCACTGTCTTCCAAGTGCTAGGATTACAGGCATGGACTTCCATGCTTAGCCTGACATTATTTTTTTATTTATCTTATTTTAATTATGTATGTGTTGGGATGCTGACCGACTGTGTGGAGGATCATGTACATGAGAGAAAGTGTCCGCCAAGGCCAGAAGAGGGTATGTCATGCCCTGGAGCTGGTGTTGCAGGTGGATGTAAGCTCCCAGACTAGGAACTGAACCCAAGTCCTCCACAAAAACAGTATACACTCCTAATCCTGGAGTAATCTCTAGGCCCTGACAATATGTTTAATGCTATAAAAAGCTCACTAGAAAAACTTCAGCAAAATTCATGCTTAATGATGGTATATGTAAAGGCTTTCCGTTCATACCTGGAGCTTTAGGGTAATGTCATTATCACTACTTCTGTTCACCATCATGCACAAAACTGCAAAACCCCAGTCAGTGAAATAGGGCAAAGGAAAGCAGGTAGAGCTATGTGGTTTATAAATGAAAAAGAAAAACTAATTCTTGGAGATGATACAGTGGTGTAGGGGAAAACCCAAGTCATCTGCAGACAAATATGAGAACTTATGAATTAATTCAGCAGTGTTGCAAATACAAAGTCAATATAAAAATTGATATATCAATAGTAAGTAACTAGAAACTAAAATTTTTGAAAAGGGTAATGGTGATAATATTCTAAAATATAAAAGACCAATCGACAAATTAGAACGATACAGCCATATTTGGAAAACTATAGAAGATCATTTAGAAAAACTAAATAAGACTTAAAGAAAGGATAAGGAAAAATTTAAAACAATGAAGATGTTTACTGTTCTCATTGGTCTATTCAGTGCTAATTAACATTCTAGCAAGATTTTGAACTACATATCAAAGCACCAGAATTAGTCAAGAACTTTTGATGAAAAAGAACAAACAGGAAAACTCATTTTTAATCAGATACAATTTATATCTCTAATCAAGACAGTCAGCCAGTGGGCAAGGGAGCAGAATACATGACATCAAATGGAGCCACACATACATGCCCTCAAATTGTAATGAATAGGACATGGCCGTCAGGGAACAGCCTGTACAACAAATGACCAAAGAATGTATCCACGTGAGAAAAAAGTGAAACTTGGCCTCTCTTACACTAAAGTCAAAAACATTTCCCAAGTGTGTAATAAATAAATGTGAAAGAGGATACCACAAGAGTATTTTTATTATCTAGGACTGGGAAACATTTCTCAAACAGGTTATAAAAAGTGATAACTGTAAAGGAAGAGGTTACCACATTGTTCTAGCCTGACATTAAGAAGTGTTCCTTATCAGTAGGTCTTACTGAGAAATTACAAAGGTAAGCCACACATGATATGGATCTAACTTCTAAAGGGCTCACTTCTAAAATGGCCTTTTGGTTTCTATTAATTTGTAAAAAAAAAAAAAGGTCTAAAATTCAAACGTAAATGGGCATGAGATTGGAAAGTCCAGTGATTTTAATATGGTAATTAGCACATGAAAAGTTGTTACTTATCAGAAAAACAAAGCCATAATAAGACCCCTTACTGATATGGATAAAATAAAAGGGCTGATGGGAACAAATTTTGGCAAGCATGTACAACTATTAAAACTCATTTATTGGAAAAGTAAATTGATATTAACTTTGAAGAACAATTTGCTCTTATCCAGTTAATTGGAGAATCCATATACTGTATTATTCAGCAAATCTACTTCTAGGTATGTGTCCAACAAAAATATGTATAAACATATTCATCAGAAGATATTCATATCAATTTCATTACTGTAATTTTCATAATGACCTCAAAATGGAAATAACCAGATGCTGGTTAGTAGCCAATTGACTAAATCTATTCCAAAACAGCACATTCACACATCGATAAACCAATGAGAATGTATGTATCCTGAGCTCAAAGATATGAGTGAATTTATGATGAGATGTTAGAAAAGATACTGGCAGATTCTACTTTTATGAAGTTCAAGGAAAGAAGTACATAATTCATATTTTCTAGAAGCCAGGATAGTCGTTATCTCTGGGGAGGAGTTGGACAGTTGTGGTACTGAGGTGTTCTCGGAGGAACTGGCCATGTTCTGTTGCTTCAGGTGGGTGGTGTTTTACAGTGGAAGACTCAAACTGAAAGATGTAATTTCTTCTCAAAGTAGGTCAATAGGTTTGATGCTATCCTAACTTTTTTTTCCATTTTGTAATACTTGAGAAGCTGATTCTAAAAGACACACTCAGTCTCAGCTAAGTGAACATTTAGGTGAGAGGGTATCATTGGGGCTCTCATGTCTTTACATGGAGGTTTGTTTTTAATAGGAGTCTATGATGATTGTGGTGGTTTGAAAGAAAATGGCCCCCATAGGGAGTGGTACTACTAAGGAGTATGGCTTTGCTGGATTAGGTGTGGCCTTGTTGGAGGAAGTGTGTCCCTATGGAGTTGGACTTTGAGGTCTCACATATGCTCAAACCATGCCCAGTGAGACAGTTGCCTGTGGATCAAGATGTGGAACTCTCAAGCTCCTTCTCCTGCACCATGTCTGCCTGCATGCCACCCACTATAATGATAACGGACTAAACCTTTGAACTGTAAGCTAGCTCCAATTAAAAGTTTTCATTTATAAGAGTTTGCTGGGGTCATGGTGTCTCTTCACAGCAATAAGACCCTATCTAAGACAATGATGTAATAAACCCACTAGACTATTGCAGGCAGCAGAAAGGGATCTGCTCAGGACTCTCTCCTGGTCCTCAGAAATGAATTTATTGTATTATTAGGCAATTATCTTTACCTTCATAACCTTTACTCAAGAATATGCTTCCCCCACCATCCTAAATAGCCAAATTATGGGCTAAAAGTCCCTTAGAATTAACTGTGTATATCTATTGAGGATCCCAAACTATGTATCTATTGAGGATCCCATAGACTCCCTATCTCCTACTGCTAACATATCTGTTCCCGGACTCTATCATGTCTCATATTTTCCCATCACTCCCTTCTTAGTTCAGTGGTCATGCTACCTGTTTTGTTTTGCTCAACTCTCCCTCCATTCAACATGTCGCCCTTCGTTTGAACCCCACACTGACTGGAATTCTCAATATCTTCCCTTTCTCACCCTGGTTGTACTATGCAGATACCTTCATTTGAATCAGGCCAGCATGCCACACAATAGCTTTCCCATATCTCCCCCTTTTCCTAAGCCTGTACCCTTCAGGAAGGAAACTGAGGACACGCCGTATAGACTCCTAGAATGCCAGAGCTGGAGAGAGTCCACTGTTGTGTGTTTATAAGTTCATCTCATTGTGATGAAGAAGCAGTTGAGGAGATGGCTCAATGTTTTCCATTATTTCAAACAATATAGAGTTCCAGTGACACGGGTTCAACAATTTTTAGGGGGCTCTTATTCTTGCTTCTGCTTCCCTAATTTCATCAATCTAGAACCCCTGAAGAACCATGAATGTGTGCAATGTGGCCTAGTCTGGAATCCTGTAGGAAATATGATAGATATGTCCCAAGAAGTGCCTAGAACTTACCCCTGATTTCTGTACTTGGGCATAAATGGTAAGGCTGTTTTCTTCCACTGGTGGCTGGCCGTTCTTTTTACCTGTAAAGAGACACAGTGGTTATCTCCCTCTAGTCTTCAGCATGAGCCTCCCGCTCAGTCCTGTCTGGCCCTCCCTCTCCATGTTCCCCATCACCACCAAAAGAACAAGGCACTAGTTCCCAGCCTCCACTCATCTGTTTATAGCATTGGATTGGTTACTCGATCTGTCTAGACCTGTGTCCCCAACATCGAAAGGAATTTGAGATGCCTGTCTCATAGAGTTATTGTAGAAATTAAATGAGATAATACTTGCAAAGCATTTACACCAGTCACACTAGCAGATAGCAAATGTCCAATATGTGCTGTGACTCCCAGCTTTGGGTGGTATTTAGTTGCTGATTCAGTTACTGTAATCTCTATTTTTGTGCATATCTGCTCTCCTAACAGGGCTCTAGGTTTTCTGAGGCCATAGCTGGCTATTTGCAGCGTGTCTCTTATCCTCCAGCTGGTGACACGTTGCTTCCTTGCAGCTCTCTCACCCCCGCCCCCCCCCCCGTTTCTGGAGGGCTTGCTAGTGCGTGGGGTGGTGGTGTAGGTGGGATGATGCACTTGGAAGAATCTGGAAAACAATTCAGCAGTGTCATTCTTTCCTTCGCAGTCTAGAAAACTAGCCCAGAGCCTGAGGTCTCTGTAAATTAGTGAGTTGTGAAACATTTTAATTTTTAGCTGACATTTACATTTTCCTTTTTAAATTACAAAGAAACTCCTCATCATAAAATTGAAGTTGGACAGAAATACATAAGATAATAGTTCACAATTCTTTCTCCCTCATTAACCAACCCCGTCTCATTCCTAGAAGTAACCAATTAAAAAAGGAGAGGATGTGGAGAGAGAGGATCACTCCTCCATTGCTGGTGGGAATGCCGACTCATACAGCCTCTTTGGAAATCAGTATGGAGATTCCTCAGGAAAATGGGAATTAATCTACCACTAGACCCAGCAATTCCACTCTTAGGCATTTATCCAAATGAGGCAGGTTCATACAACAAGGGCATCTGCTCCACTATGTTCATAGCAGCATTGTTTGTAATAGCCAGAACCTGGAAGCACCCTAGATGCCCCTCAACTGAAGAGTGGATAGAGAAAATGTGGTACATTTACACAATGGAGTATTACTCAGCAGAAAAAAACAATGGAATCTTGAAATTCGCAGGGAAATGGATAGCACTGGAAGAAACCATCCTGAGTGAGGTAACCCAGTCGCAAAAAGACAAACATGGTATGTACTCACTCATATATGGATTTTAAATATGGATCAGGATAGTGCCAGTCTGCACTTCCACAGATAGAGAGTCTGGGAAACAGGAAAGAACCTAAAAGATATGCATATATGCATAGTACCCAAGAGAAGAGGATGGAGACAAGATCCTCTGAATGGATGGGGAACAGGGCGAGGGGGGTAGTGGGACCTGGGAAGAGTAGAGGGGGTAAAGAGGAAGGGAGTTGGTCATGGGGGAACAGGAAGTTGAGGGGGTGGGGGTAAAATAGGGGGAAGAGGGAATCATAGGATCGAAGACAGATCAGGCACCAGAGTGACCTCGAGTGATCTAAAGGTATAACATCAATTGGCAAGCTAAGCAATAGTGGAAGGACCACCTCGAATGCCCATTCCTGATAATGAACTTGATGTCTATAACTATCCGGGAGCCTTCATCCTGGGACTGATGGAAGCAGAGGCAAACACACAACTAAGCACTGAACTGAACCCAAGGAACCCAGTGACAGAGAGAGAGGAGTGATGAGCAAATTGGCAAGGAATGGGCTGGCAAAACCAGCAGAGACGGCTGATCTGAACAGGGAGTGCTCTTGGACCCCAGACCGACAGTGGGGAGGCCAGAATGGGACTGATCTGGACCCCCCAAATGTGAGTGTCAGTGAGAAGGCCTGGGCAACCTATGGGGCTCTGAGCTGTGGATCAGTGTCTATCCCTGGTATACAATCTGTCTTCATGTGCCTATGGCACAAAGAGAGATGCTCTCTCAGCCTGGACTCTTAGGGGAGTGCCTTGACCCTACCAAGAGTGAAATGATAGACTCTAGACATCCCCTATGTGGAGGGATTTGGCAATAGGGTGGGAGGGAGGGTGGAAGGGGAGTGCGGGAGGAGGGGAGGGAGAGGGAACTGGGATTGACATGTGAAACAAGCTATTTAAAATTAAAATAAAAAATGATTAAAAAAAAAGTTTCGTGTATGTCCATCTCTGGGCAATATAGTACTTCTGTGAGGGCATAAATGTTCCTTCTGCATAGACTAATAGCCACAAGTGGCAAGCACTTGAACTGTGTGACTAGTGAAATCAAGAAATTGTTACGTAATAGTAGTTCAATTAAATACTGGATGAGCATCTCAGATACCGTCTATATTTGATAGGTTTCTCTCTTTTGCACAAACGGTGCCATTGTGATCACACATCTCTGTGACTTGTCCCTTACAATGTGTTCAGAGGCTCCTCATGATACCACAGTGGACCTCTTCACTTTTCCTATCCCTGAATCACTCCCCTTCATGCGCCATGCACGGGTGAGGATGTGGAAAGGAAGGGACTGACCTGCGCAGGACTTTCAGGGGACCTCTGCAAGATCTAAGCCAAGACCACGGAAGCTCAGTTCAGCTCAGAAGAAACCACAGCCTTCAAGGCAAACTTGCCTAATGTCAATTCACTTATCTTTTTCAGAAGCTGGGAGCACACCTCTGAGAGGACAGCCCCAGGAAGTACACTTGCTTGGAAGAGAAACGCCTAGTCCTGTGATGTGTGTGTGGTGGGAGCTTCTGACTGAGGGTGTGGCTCTCGGTGAGGAAATGATGGGAAGTTACTGGGAAAGTTCAAGGAATCATAGTGAAATTTCCTCTGTGGGTATGGCATGCCGGATGGTTCAAATCTCACTGGTGTGTGTGTGTGTGTGTGTGTGTGTGTGTGTGTGAGAGAGAGAGAGAGAGAGACAGAGACAGAGACAGAGACAGAGAGACAGAGACAGAGACACAGAGAAAGATGAAAAAACCAGAAGTTAGGGCTCATAAGTGCATAGAAACACGTGGGGGGTAGGAGAAGGGTGCCAGGGATTTCTGTGAAATACTACTCTTTCATTTCAAATCCACTAGTGTTGAAGAGTGAGACCTGCTTGCCCAGCCCTCTCCTAGGTGCAGCCTGCTATGCAAACTGAGACTAGACTCCAGCCTAAGAACTTTTAACCCTGCAGGCCAGATAAGGATGAAGTTTAGAATGGCAGGACAGTCCCGAATGATCAAAAAGACCACTGAATCAAGGTGGCTTAGATTCCTCCTCCTCCTTCCCTCTCTCTCTGCCTCCCTCCTTCCCTCTCTCTCTGCCTCCCTCCTTCCCTCTCTCTCTCTGCCTCCCTCCTTCCCTCTCTTTCTGCCTCCCTCCTCTTTTTCAGTACAGAAACAGATTTTTCAGGAGGCAGCTCAACTTGGCTCCAAGTTAGCCAAGTCTTTGGATGTAACGAAAAAAATCTGAGCCCTAGATCTTAGCCTTAGAACCAGCATTAGCATTTGCTTTGAGGCACTGAACAGATTAAGTCATTTCAGTGAGGTTCTTTAAATACTGTAGTTGTAAAACCAGAGCATAAACCACTTTTTTAGTTCTCACAAGAAGCAACAAATTGTCTTATGTGGCCATAACTACAAGTACTTTAAGCCTCTCTAAGTACCATTTCTAGAATCTCCTGGGATAGTTCTCTGTGGGTCTTAAGACTTAAATATTGGCCCACTCACACTGAGAGATCTGTTTACAGATGTATGTGTATACATGTATCACCCAGGAAAACCACTGTGTGCTATCTGCGTATTGGCTTGCCAATCTCCACAGCAATACCACAAAAGGCATAATATCCTCGCTTTGCAGATGGTGAAACATTTGCTTGGTTACACAGCTCATTAGTGCCAAAGTCTGCATTTGGTTGTTGTCTAAGGCCAAAGTCCCATGTGTTCATTTGTTAATTTTGGGATGGGGGTCTCACTGTGTTGCTCAGGGCTGATATAGCATCCATGGGCTAGAGTGATCCTCCTGCCTCAGACCTTGCAAGCAGCTGTTACTACAGGCTTGCCTCACTGCACACTGCCCGATGCCCACACGCATAACTAGCGTATTCTCTTGGAAACGCCCTTGCCAGAACCACCTTAAAACTCCTGAGTCGGGCGCACTCTGGAGGAGACACACTACACGTTGCCAGCAGAACCTCTTGAGCAATGCTTTGTGGAGGGTACAGCGACTAAATGTAGGTTTTGGCGTAGGTTTGTATGATGCTGAGTTACAAGGTGTAAATGGTTGCTGGAAAAGCTGGGAAGGGAAGTACTGCTCCCTCAGAGCTCAGTCACGTGCTGAGCAGAGTGCGGGGAGGAACGTGGTGCGGAAGGGCAGCGCGCCTTCACTAGCTAGGCGAAGGTGGGAAACGTCCTCTGCTTTCTTAGCCACGGGATCTCACTGGTTTCTTGTAAGGAAAGCCAAGTGGGCCCACTCCCGGACCCCTTAGCTCTCAACAGAAGTTTTGTCTGAATAACACGGCCCTCCCCCACTGTCTTGTCAAACTCTTTGATGGAGGAAATGAGATAGAGCTCCTGCACTGTGCTCGACATCTCTCTTATATAAGCAAAACCGACATCGAGGTGCTGAGGTAAAGGCTTCTCTAAGAAGACCGTGTGCGGATCACATTGATCTGCCTGAGAATGACAGGAGCTGTCAGCTTGGTGATAGCCGGCATAGGTGTCTGTGCTCCCCGAGGAAAGGCCAATGGGGAGTCTGAGTCAGGATGCTCTGATCCAGATGGGTGAGTGGGAGTCAGTACGGCTGAGGGGGGCACGTGACCCTGAGATAGCAAAGAAAGGTCAAGCATTTAAACTTGGAATCACAGCCTTACTGCTTTTAGTCTACCCCGGGACATGTTTCACAGATGCAAGAGCTATCTGAATTCTCGTCCCTAGCAAATCTCAGTAGAGTATGCCTCCTGTTTCAATTCCTTTAGCCTTCTGTACAAGCCAACCTCAGTACTGCATTCAAACTGTCTACATACTGTCTTCTATCTCAGATGCTTGTGACTCTTTCCTCTACGGATTCCCTTAACCAGGTACAGGGCTCAACAGACTAGAATTAGGTTGAATTGAGTGAAGAGGTATTGATTTAGTACTTTTCACTGGGTGCTCCAGGTAAAAAACTATAGTGAGAGTGAGTCTGTGTTCATAGTGAGAGCGACCTGTGCTTGTATAAGACAGATCTTTTCTGCTTACCACTGGGAGCTGGTAAGAAGCCCTTCTTGCAAGACCTACCTTGTTTTTTCAGCATCATCACTGCCGTAGGAATCAGGATGATGACTATAATGACGCCTAAAGGCACAGCAGTCTGTGGTAGCCATGAGCTTGACTCTGAAAGAAAAGTCAAAGGACAAATCTCAGATGCACTGTGGGTTTAAAAATACCCCACCCAGAAGTGAGAAGACTGAGCCTCATGCCCCATTTCCGTGCCTGCCTCCCCAGGGAGACATTTGTTTACGTGGCTTTGGAGACCAGCCTTAGACCACTAAGATTTCCATGTCTGCCTTCTTACCCTCACTTCACTTACTATCCCTGACGTTCACGTTTCCAATTTCATAAAGATGTTCTAAATACAATGCTTTATTTTCTCTTTAAATACCACTTGTCTAAAATTAACTTGCCTTCTGTCTCCTAAGGCAATCTCTTGCCCTGCTTCTCTCTTTTTTTAATTTCTAAAGTATTATGTGCCCATTTTTGGTAAAAGGGATGTGACGGTCCCATGGGCTTGTCCCTATGCCCCCAAACTACTCCCATGAGACAACTGGGAGGAAGAAATATGCTTGTCTTCTTAAAAAAATAAACACAACGGTGCTATTATTGCCTTTGAATGCAAATGATTGTGTTGAACCCACCAGACCTGAACTAAAAGAAAAGCATGTCATTTTTCTTGTCAGTTGTTGTCATATTTTAAATTATGGAAGCTAACTAAATTATGAGCTTGAAACTGCAGAGACAAATTTTGTGGCTTTCTCTCCTTTAGCCACTATGCTGAATCTTTTTGAACCAAGAACACCACTTTGGAAAAATGAATAAGGCCTTTGTCTCAATCAACAAGACATGTGCTTACTAACATGATAGTGGACAGCCACTAAGTACTTACAGTACAGTGTTTTTAATAGTGAATCTTGCTCAAAAATGTATTTAACCCGAACAGTCCTAAGGGGTGGCACTTTTATTTTTTCCATTTTATAAGCAAGGAAACGGCATGAAGAATATCAAGAATTAGGGCTAGGGATAGGAGAGAAAACATGACTGAGTACTAAAGTCAAGCTCCCTGGGGGTCAGAGGGATTCCTGGACTTGGAATGAGCAGTGAGGTCTCATTTGAAGCACCAGGTTTCTAAGTAATGACACTAGGTTCTAGTGTTACTAATGAAACAAATGCAATACCAGGTATTAGCACTAATGTGTAGGGACACTTTATAAAAATGATAGTGAGAGAAAAGTGGGTTTATAAACATCTTACCCAGCAGTATACATATATACAAATAAGAAAACTTCCTCGTTGTTGAACCTTTGAGGGGTATGTCAGAAGTTGAAAGGAAGAACTAAGTGGGTTACAAAGGAACAGAGTAATTGTAGACACCATTCAGTTGCTTATAGAACTAATGAAAATATAGACAGAAGTCCCACGGAACTAATAAAAGGCCTTAGCCCAGCAGCTATTCAGTAGTTTCCTTTTGGGCTTGGAAGAATTACCTTCTTCATAGGCTCTCCATATAGCCAGCCACAATCCCGCTGCAATGACAGATTCTCTTTTTCAAATAAACTATGTTTTAACTCGGCCAACTACCAACTTCAATAGTCTTGAGTCAAAAAGGAGAGGATCTAGGTGTGGTGGTTCATGCCTCTAGTCCCACAACTCAGAAGGCTGAGATAGGAAGGCTGACAGTTAAAGGGCTATGGGGTAAGACCCTGCCTTAAAAGTGAATACATGAATGAATGAACAAACACTGGTAAGCAGAGAGTTGTCTTTGTATAACTCTGTATGACACCCTGAATGGCATATGATGGCTGAGAACCCTATGTGTATGTATGTGCATATGTATGTATGTATGTATGTGTGCATGTATGGCTGACTGAGAGTATACTTGGTTCAGATTTTTGCTGTCAGTACCAGGGACACACAGAAAAACTCCCTGGTACAAGGAGAGAAGCAGGGGCAGCAGCCCGAGCTCCTTTCACAAATCGTGGTACTAGTCCAGCAAACCATGATAGTAGCACTTACTATTTTGAGAGAGTTCCTCTTTCTTCTTCTAACATTTGTATCTTGAGAAAGTCTACAATAAAAGCTAATTTAAGACCAAAGACCTCAACCATTTATATCATTTCCAAAGATAATATTTCTTCTAAATTTCATAAGAGATTTACAAAAAGACCAAAAGCCAAGATGATGCCCCTGCTGCTGGAAAACAACAGATGACAGACTTTCATGCCAAAGCCGCCTCTCTCCCCTCCCCGGGCCTACTGCTGCAGCCCTGCTGCCCACCTAGTCACAGAAGTCAGTAACTGCAGATACGTGACTGGGGCTCCCTGCACGGTGACACCAGGCCCGTGTCTTCCCAGGATCCCAGTAGGATGCAATCAACCTGCTGCCTGCATCTCGTGACATAAAAGACCAGCTTCTGCTAGATATGAGAGGCAATCTGGCCCTCATATTGAAAGGTATTTCTATCAACTCTAATTCTCTCCCTGCCTTTTAAAATATGTATGAATATATTGGTGAATTAAAAAAATAAAACCATTGGCTTAAAAAAAAAAGAAAAAAAGACCTAAAAGGAACTATATATATAGTGTTTAGTTTCCTCATTTCACATTGAGGAAACGAGTATATACTGCATTCTAGATGTCAGTGGCCCAGCTGGGAAGGTGAGAACTGTGGAGTATGAGGTTTGTGACAGCCTCTGAGATGGAGCCCCATGGGGAAAGTAGCCACAGATGCCTGGGAGAGCTAAGGCCAGCCTGTCTCTTCGCCATCTTCCCTCCACACTCCACTCCCCCTCCTGAGGGTGCTTCAGCTGTCCACCACACCCCCTCAGGCTCTGCTCAGGCCACTCTTCCTTCCCCAGTGTCACCTTTCCTGAACATTCCAGCCTCACTCTGCCCTCTCAAGACTTTGCCATCACATGTAGTTTATGGCATATAGGTTAGAATCTGTGTTTTTCCACCGTTGTCTTTGCAATGCAAACCATTTTAACCGGTGGTATTAGAGACCAGATGGATGGATTCAACTCCTCGACTACTAATTAGTAACTGTGTGTCTCAGAGAGACTTTTGTACCCTCTGAGGCCTGTTTCTCGTCAATGAAGTGAGCACAAAAATACCTAGTCCACAGGGTTGTTCTGATGAACCAGCACAATGCTGCACATAGTGTTCAGAGCATCGTTTAGACTCGTCACATGATCATTGGACGTCGCCTGCTTCCACTAGCCTCAGCTCCCCAGTGAACCTGCAGGAGGCCAGAGGTCATCTCTTGACAGAGATATCTTTTCAGTCCCTTCAGTACTTGCCGCAGACATCCTCAGTAAGTTCCTAATGGTTGATTGGAACAAGAAAACGAATTGGCTCCTCACTGAAGCCCTGAGGTGCCGAGTCCCATCCTGTCACTTGGTTATGGCTTAGTTTTCCCATCTGAGTAGCAGGCCCCAAGGTGCCTATACTTAATGTTCACCCACTTGGTGCTATTGCTAGTCATAGTGTTTATACATAGAAGTTATCAAGGAACTATCAAACTTGAAGGCTTGAGGAATTCAGACAAATATGGACACAATGCCGCTTAGCTAGCTTGTGGGGGTCAGGTTGCATACAGTTTCCAAAGTTTCTGGAAATGTTTTCCTTGTGGTCCTCTGAGCCCCTGTTGCCCCTGCTCTGCTTGCTCTTCTGAGTGCTGTCTCGTGCGAGGACCGATCCCTCCCTCAGTTTCTACACCAAGCTAAAACAGGACGGAAGAACTCCCCACCAAGAGTCTGTGTTTCAGTCTTCTGTGGAGGATCTGAGGGCACTCAAGGAGCAGACGCTACTGTGACCCGGGAGCTTCCACACATCGCCTGATAGACTTTTCTTTTTCCTCATTGTTTTTTGTTTGTTTGTTTTGAGAGGCTAGGTTAGCCTGGAACCTGCTGTGTAGCCTTGTGATGCTCCTGTCTCAGCCTCCCCGTGCTGGGATTACAGGCATGCACCCGTTCCCTCAGCTGCTCTGTTTCTGTATGAAAACCATCTTTCCCCTTTCTCAGAGCATCCAGGCTATATATCTACATTTCTTGGGGTAAGGCCTTATTGTCTGTCTTCTACTAGCTACTAAAGCATGTCTTAAGTACTGTGTATCCTTCAAAGAGGAAGTATTTTGGGAGTAGCCTATTTAAAATGATAGGTTTATTTTTCATCTAGTAAAGTACAGAAGTCACATTTATGTTGACATCTCTAAAGGTGGTCTCTGTGCCTATTCTTTTTTTAAATAGCCCCCCCCCATCCCATCAGATACAGGACATGAAGTCGCTCCGTATACATTTTGTGAACTTGGATTATTGAACATGAATGGATCTTAGAGAACTGGCATGTGTTCTTTTGTTAAAAGTTATCAGAGTGCTAAATATGTGAAGGTCTCAGAAGGCATGCTGGGTCACTTTCTGAATGCCCTGAGACAGGAGTCCAAGGAAGTACCAATGACCTACTTGCCATAGCTTTGCAATAACAACACGAAGCTGGAAAGAGAGTGCTTGCCCGAAGCACATCACCTGTGCGCCTATTTCCAAACCGGAAGATCCCACTCTCTCTGCTTTTGCTCATTCATGTAGTGAGGCCTCTCAGGATGCTGGTTCTCAGAAATCAGATAAAACTTGTCCTTGGCTCCACAAGCCATTCAGTCACAAAGAAACATTACCTCAACCTCTTCTCTTGTCTTTCTTTTTTCCTTTTCTTTTTTCCTTTTCTGAATCAGAGATATGATGCTAAGGGGGATGGCTGAAAACACCTGTGCTGTTTAGAGGAGACAGTACTTTGCATGAGTCTCCAACCTGTGGTTCTCCACTATTAGCCGTGAGTTAACTGTAAGGAAAACTGTTAGCTGTAAGAAAACCTGCACAGAGTCACACCTCCAAGGAAAATGCTGGCCATCTTCTTTCCCTTTTTGTCTCTGAAAACTCTGTCGTCACAGCGACACAAAAGCTTCTCTCCCTTCAAGTCCTCAGATCATGTTATTTGAAGACGATAAAAAGAAAACAAAACAGAACCCAAGAAATAAATGTAGTTCATCCAGGAGCCTCTGAAATGCTCACATAACGGTCTGAGAGTACCGGATCTCTTTCCTGCCTTTCATGTGGTTTTGTCAGCAAGGTTACTGGCATGGAGCAGGCTCCTTGTGAAGTCGGCAGTCTTCAAGAGATGTCTTCTCAGTGGTAGTTTCCAGCGAGAATTGGGGGTGGGGAGAGGATACCAACTTAAGTCTGGGAGCATCCAAGAAAAGGTTTTTATGGAACTCACACCTTCTGAAATGCCACCTTACAGCAGCCTGTTTCTCCCCAGACAGTGTTGCAAAGGGAACTAGCCATGTAGAGTCATTTCTTCCATTCTTTCATAACTGTGGACACACAGCTGCCCAGCTAATAACTGTGCTTCCTGGATTTCCTTGTAACACGTTTAGCCACATAATGAGACTGTAGCTGATGAGAAGTATCCTACCTCTATCTTTTTGCCCTTGCTGTCAGGTTTGCTAGATGGGGATGGCACTGGGGAGGACCATGGCATGGAACATTTAAGTGACTATGAAAATGACGGGGGTGAGAGGGACACTCTGGAGCTCAGGTGTTAGCCCTTTCTTCCACTGAGCCAGCATTATACTAACTTCTTGAGAAAGTTTTTCCTTTTAGTGTGGGCTTCCAGGGGGTATTCCCTTCTAGCTAAAGTTTTAAGATTTTGAATCAGTCATCCTCACACAGACATAATACTTTCAAAACATAGTGATTAAGGGCAGCAGCAAGTCCCACACAGGATCTACTGTCAAACCACATTAATGTGCTTCACATGACCTAGATAAAAGATGTTGTAGAGCCCAAGAATCTAGGTCTTGTCATAAGAGACTTCATTATGAAGGACATTGAAGATCTATGAGGTTCTTAAATGCCAATCAGAACCCAGATGATTATATGACTGAGAGCCTAGACAAATGTCATTGAAACTTCCTTTCAAGGAACAAATATGTTCATGCACACCTTGTCAATAATTAAAGTGGAAAAATGTCTTCAAAATGACTCTTCTGACTTACTGATGGCAACACTGATGCACCCTCAGCCTACCACACAGTTTCATTCTGGGGCTGAGGCATCCCTTAGTGCACACTATGTAAGAAGTCTTTGTTGTACTAACAGCTGCTGCTTGGACAGGGGTCTCAGCACATCTGGATGGATTACTGTCGCAATGTCCTGCTGTAACTGGTTTCTTTCTCTTCGGCCTCTTACTGAACCCAGCCTATTCTCTGCACCACTGTACTTTCTCTTTGAAATGCAAAGACAATGGAGCCCTTCCCCATCTGAAACCTTCAGCTCCTATCACACTATAACCTTCTGGATGGTGTAGAATGTGGCACATACCTTCTCTGTTTTCCCTCTGCTTAAAACACCTTTTGTCAGAGAAGTTTGGGTAACTTCTGTACATTCCTCAAATCCCCATCTTTGATAAACCAGTGCTGTTCATTCCTTCTCTTTATTACCTTGCACATATTTTGGTTTTATAACCTCTCCTACATACTATGTGATTTAGGATAATTGTCTATTTACAGAATTATCTTCAGGACAATGATTGTACATCTCTGTTTTTCCATATTTGTGTGCTTGGTACCTTGCATGATGCTGGAATGTGGTGAAACCCCAACAGATGTTTGTGAAAGCAAGCACAGAACTTTTAAAATTAGCAGCTTCCATTTACAAACACAAAGTGATAGACCAGTGGCTCTTAATCTGTGACCCCGTCACAGGGGTCACCTAAGACCATCGGAAAACACAGACATTTACATTATGATTCACAACAGTAGCAAAATTACAGTTATGAAGTAGCAACAGAAATAATTTGATGGTCGGGGGTCACCACAGCATGAGGAACTGTATTAAAGGATCACAGCACTAGGAAAGTTGAGAACCACTGTGATAGACCAATGAAAGTGGCTTTCCAGTAATTTAGGTAATTTCCTCTACAGCTCTGTGTAGAGGAAAGGTCATGCTGCACAATGCCAGTGTGTCTGGTTTGGATATGGTGAAGAACGTCTCCATCTTTGGAGGGGGAGGAACCTTTACTTCAACTATGAGTTAAATTGTGTTCTCTAAAATCTTTATTTGGAAGTCCTTAGGATGTGACTTCCATCAGATATGGGAGCCTTACAAAGATAACCAAGTTAAAACTAGGGTGCTAGCCAGGCATTGGTGATGCACACCTTTAATCCCAGCACTTGGGAGGCAGAGGCAGGTGGACCTCTCTGAGTTAGAGGCCAGCCTGGTTTATAAAGTGAGTTCCAGGACAGCCTCCAAAACAATACAGAGAAACGCTGTCTCGAAACAAACAAACAAACAAACAAACAAAACCAAAACCAAAAACTAGGGTGCTATGGCTTAGTTACTACACTGTCAACTCTTATTGAAGCTCTAAGCCTCACCAGAGTACTGTTTGGGAACAAGTTGTTATGAAGGTAATTAAATTAAATTCAAACAAGGTCACTAGCTTGGCCCTTATCTAACTTGACTGGTATCCATATCAAAAGAGGGGAGGGAGAGAGGCATGAGGGATGCACAGACAGAGGAAAAAAGACCATCTGTAAGTCAGGGAGAGAGGTCTCAGGAGAAATCAAACCAGACAACACCTTGCTCTTGAACTTCTAGACTCCAGAACATTGAGACAATAATTTCCAACAGCTTAAAGCATCCAGTTTATGACTTCAATTCCCCAGGAAACTAAGACTCCTAGCAACTCTTATTAACAGTTCTTGTTGACACAATCATGAATTAAATCATACATGTCACCTCTGGAAGGAACATCAGTAATTTACCCTTTGTCTTGCAGATGGTAAGACAGAGGCCCAAGAGAAAAAAGTGGCTGCTTCATGTCTAGTAGCTTTTCTGAGTGGATAAGGTCTTGATAGAGTTCTACTCAGAGCACCTACTACTCAAGGGCCACTTAGTGTCCCTCCACACCCCACAGAAGCCTGCTTCATACTCAGCCACACTAGTGTATACTTCATCCTCAGGATGGCTTAAGTGGGTAAAATCACCTTCAGTGTTTGCTTAGAATGTCTTGAGCTAAATGCCCAGGTGTAAACTTTATGGATTACCAAGATTTTATTATGCACTAGTTAGATGCTTGTCAAGCTATCTTGAAAGGAGTTCCTATCCCCACATCTCATTTTGAGATAGGTCAGGGTAAAAACTTGCTCCCTTGTCTCTAAACAGGCTTTATCACGAAAAAGGACCCGGGCTGCTCCAATGGGTCTTCCTCATCTCCAGGGAAAACAACTAGTTTTTCATTGAGATTTCTAAGGGCATTTTAAGTAAATTCACTCTTCCATTAAAACCTACGATGATTCCAGTACCAAACAGCTCAATTCTCTCAATTGCTCTGTGTTTGATCTTACTCAAACCTTTCATAGTTCTTTTTTTTTCTTTTTCACTTCATTCATAGTGTGAAGATGTCAACACTATCTACATCATTTGATTACTGTGAGGGTTAATGATGTGCCATGTAGCCACTACACAGCAAACAGTCAAATCCTCTCAGCCGTCAGTTACAGATGAAAATAAGGTCTCAGGGAAAGCTGAGCTTCTTACTCCAGTAATCAGAAAGAGCCCCCTGGGACCATGTTCTAGAATCTTCCCACTAGACATCATTGTTTTCTTCCTTTCTCCAGGATACCCTGAATGACTGTGGGCAGGGAGAGACCTGGAGAATAGTTTACACATGGTTTGTGGGCCACATTCAGAAAGTAGAGATGGTTGGCTCTTTCCATGACATAGCTGCAGTAGGTTCAGAAAAGAACTCAAAGGAATATGCTGGGGTTCAGGAGGGCTATTTCCTATCTGAGAATCCTCTGGGGGGTGGGGAGTCTCAGTTACAGGAAGTGCTATGCTGAGGGCATAACGTATCTCCAGTACCCTTTCCTCTGTCTCTGCCCATCTGGTGTGCCACACAGACACCAAGTCTGTGTGGGTGGGAGTCTCCTTGGAATGACTCTTGCTCTCCTCCCCTGCTAGGACATGTCAGGATATAAGTAATGCCTTCCAGGGCTCTCTCTGAACATTCCTGTGGCATAGACACAGCCTGGCACAAGAGAGAAGTGGTCTCTTCTGTCTCTTGGTTAGATGGGCTTAGTTGATCAGCATTCTCTCCCAACAGAACAGTCATGCTCTCTATCTAGGAAAAGAGAAGACCTACTCAAAATATTTAGGTTAGGCATTAACGCCACTATTTGAAATCCAACAGACTTGAAAGAGATACTTAAATTCCATGAACTTCAAGTTCCTCCTATGTAAAATGAAGCTGGTAATGTCACCCACCTGGCAAATTTGCTGTGAACCAGAGACGGTACATTCAAAGTGCCTTGCCGGTAAGGAGTACCCTCATCTCATCACCGCTCCCTGGTTTCATGCTCCAGGACTTAGCTTACCTCTCTCTCTGCTCCTCTAACTGGCTCTGAGATTCACAATCCATTCCTAGTGCAAGCCCCTCCCTTACAGCCTGTGCTTCATTATCAAGCAAACATCTCACATTTGCACTGTGTCGCTGAGGTGCAGAGAGCACACATCGTATCTACTCCCTTCTCTTGCAGCGTAAGTGCTAGGGAAGCACTTGCTGATGGCATAGAACTGTCTCACCATAATGGAGCATGGATTTGGGACTTGGGACCTGACACCTGCATCCCTTTTCCAGACATCATTGAAAGCTGGATCCAGGGCAGAAGGCATGGAGAAAGGTTTTCTTTTGGACACCTTTGCTCTGGGTCTGATTCTGTTTTTTCTTTCCTTCCCCTTTTGTTCCTTAACTGTGAACCAAATGTTATACAATGTCAGCTGGGGCCACCATGAAAGCACCTTTGTTGAATATACCTAGAGGCTTTGGCAGTATAAAGAAAACAAGTGTCATTGGCAAGGCTTGACTATGGACGAGAGTTATTGGGCCAGTTATTCTGGGGCTTGCCATTGACGAGTGCCCTAGCCACCACAGAGTACTCACCGGAGGAGGATTCTCGCCTGCACTCCTGCCATAGGTCAAAGGTCCGAGAGTGACTGCTGACAGGGTTGCTTGCAGTGCAGTTGTAGATGCTGTCCTGATGCTGGTTGCTAAGGGTGATGTACAGGAGGTGAGACTGGTTGGCTGGGCTCAGCAGACGGGTGCCTGCCTCGTCACTCCAGCTGTAAGCCACATGATCCCCTTTCTTCACCTTGCAGGCTAACATCAAGCTGCAGGTTCCATTCTCGGTCTCCTGGGTTTTGTTTAGCACTTTAATCTCTGGAGTGGAGACCTGCTCTGTCAGGAGGAGGAGAAGGGGGCCATCACTGAAACACAGCTCCTGGAACTATTGACTGCTTTATTTGTCAAAACAAATTCTAGACAAGTGTTGCTGGAGTTTTCTTTCCAGCCAGGTTGCTTCAGCCACAAATAAACACACAAATGCTATATTAGTTATAAAACTATTGGCTGATGGCTAGGGCTTCTTATTGGCTAGTTCTATCTTAATAATTAATCAATAACTACTAATCTGTGTATTTCTACATGGCCTCGTCTTACCAGAGAATGCCTGGTGCGTCATATCTTTCTGGTCTCTACATGGTGTCCCTTTGCGATCTCTCTCTGCCTACTTTTCCCAGAATTCTCCTCATTCCCTAGTCCCACATATCTTCCTGCCTCTATTGGCCAAACAGTGTTTTATTAATCAACCAATAAGAGAAACATATATCCAGAAGGACATCCCCTACGAGACAATGGCATTTTTCCCCTCACCGAGAAGTGTGAGTTGTCTCCTGTGGAAAACTGTCATTCACATCATTCCTCACCCCTCTTTGTTCTTCCTAGGACTCTCTTGAGATAGAGAAGCATTTGGTTTTTAGTTCCTTTCTGCTAATACAGTTACGGGACTGCATGCCTTTCCTGATGTTCACTATGTAAATTGTTCTGCTATATTCTATCAGGAATAAGACAGGTTTTGATTGGCTTGAAGTACAGCCTCCTAGAGCTAAAAGCTTGAGTTTTCAGTGGTAGGATTTCATCGTGCCTATGTGGTGTCTGTGTGTGTGTCTGTGTGTGTGTGTGTAGTATGTGTGTGTGTGGTGTGTGTGTGGTGTGTATGGTGTGTGTGTATGTGTTTGTGTGTGTATGTGTGGTGTGTGTATGTGTGTGTGTGGTGTGTGTGTGGTGTGTATGGTGTGGTGTATGTGTGTGTGGTGTGTGTGTGGTGTGTATGGTGTGGGTGTATGCGTGTGTGGTGTGTGGTGTGTGTGTGGTGTGTATGGTGTGGGTGTATGTGTGTGTGTGTGTGTGTGTGTGTGTGTGTGTGTGTGTAGCAAGGGTTTTGTGGGTCGACGGCAGCGGTAGGTTTTCAGGGTTAGCCATAGGCCCTGTCAATCCATACAGTTCTAAAGCCACGAGACAGGCAAGGAGAAAAGGGTGGTTGTGCTTATTACAGCTATTACAGGACCAGCACATTGCTGGCATTTCATATTCATCTTTAATTCTCTCAATAGTTATAACTAAAAATAATTATTCTCATTTTGTGGATGAGAAAACTGAGTCTCAGAGAAATGCATGTCTTGTTCGACATTATGCAACTTCTAAGTGGCCTCGCTAAGTACCTTCATCAGAGTCTGAAATCAGCGCCCCCCCATCCCGCTCCTCCGCCTCCGGTAAAGAAAGTCAAGGTTGCAGAGACCACAGTTCTCAAAGTACCCAACTTTGTAAATCTCAGTAAATCTATAAGAACAAAGGGACAGATCATTTGACATATATAATACATGCTGTGCGGCCTCCGTGCACACTCAGCAGAGGGCTATGGGCATTCTGCATTCTCTATTTGCAGGAGGGAAACACCGGGGCAGGAGAGAGTCAAGATGTTTCTTTTTCTCCCCTAGATATCTGAGAGTTTCAATGAAACATTGGCTGTGGACCTCCTATCCCATCCTTGGTGGTGCAAGAGATCCCTTTGAAAGACCAGGGAAGCCCCACAGAGACGCAGAGATGCCAGGGAGCCTTGGAAAGCAGATGAGGCTCTGGGCCTGTGGGATAGGGATTCAAGGTGTGGTTAAGGAACAGGAGCAGAGGTCAGAGGAACTCAGAAAGCGCTGGAGTCAGGCAGTCCCTCAACTAAACAACGACATAACCAGATCCTGGTTCAAATGAGAAAAAAAGGTGTTTCTTTCACCATGTAGGTGGAAGCCTCCCCCAGGGCTCTGGGCTTGGTGAGCTAGCTGCCTGTGGGTGGAATGTCAGCTTTCTGTACTCAGAACCTCTGCTTCAGCAAACAGCCTACACAAATGTGGGCAAGCACGTGCAGAACCACTTGCCCCTGGAGTTGGGGGTCCCTGGCAATGACAGAGAGGTTAGGTTTGTTCAGTTATATCCCACTTTGTACTTTTTGGGCTTGATAGAAAAAATGCTTTTATTAAAAAATTGATATGCAGACTCAGCCTGTTAGAGGGGAAAGCCCTTCAGGCCCCACACAGTGGGCTTCCTTCCTTTTAAAGCAGGAATCAATTCAGCCTCCTCTGGTGTGCAGTTTGGAATATAACTAACCAGCTAACTAACTAACTAACTAACTAACTAACTAACTAAATGTCAGCCTGTCAAAGTGTTTCCCTTAAGCTTAAATACTCGCTGGACCAATTGCAGACACTCTGCTTCTGAGAAAGGCCCAAGGCTTCGAGGCCTCCTGTGTGAAGTGTGAAAACTCCCATTCTTACCATAAAGTTTCAGCTGCATACAGAATTGCTGAACAGACACATTCTCCTCCAAGCTCACAAAGTACCATCCTTCATTCTCCCTACTGCTTGCCAGGATCCCCAGGCTCAGGTTTTCTGGTTGGAACTGGTAACCGTCCTCTAGATGATCTGGATAGCCCCCTTTCGCAAGATCAAAAGACACTATTTTCTTGTTGGTTTTGCTTCCTCGAGACGTTGCCATCGTGACAAGAATTCGGACGCTCTTGTTACCACTCTTATTTATCTGATTTGTCAGGGGCAGCCACATGTCACTTCCCAGTGGCTGGGTGATCACCGAGCAGTCCATCACACCTCTACCTGTGGGAAGAAAGGGAAGGTAACGCCTGATGATGCAAGATCTGGAGACTATGTTGTATCAAGGACAGAGAACGACAGGTTCGAGGCTCGCCTCTCCTCTTGAACTATCTCAAATTACCACATGGTAGTCTACAAAGGACGACCACCGGGATCCTAACCATAACTTCAGTGTTTCAAAGCATCCAGTGGAGCTCATACAATTACTTACACCAGGGTTCTGCCAACTCAGACTTAACAGTGAAGGCATAGAGGGCAGAAGTAAAGTAAATGACTTTCTTAAAGTCACATTAGTAAGTGGCAGAGCCAGGACTAGAATCTCAGTCTGTAATTTCTCTGCCAAGGTTCTTGCCAGCACTCAGTATCAGGGTGAAGAGTGGATAACAGTAAAAAGGAGCCCAGGGGACCACAGTCCCCAAAGCACTAAGCCAGGTGACAAGACGCAGAGAAGGGTAGGAGGGCTGTGAGAATTAGGGAGGTGGTGTGCTTAATGTTCAAACTGGGATCCCAGTTCTCCGAAAATATCTGAGATAATTAATAATGGTAAGGGTAAGGTATTATTTTATTTCCCTTTTAAAAAAAGCTGAACCAACATGAACAAGGTGGGGGTGTGTGTTAAAAAAACCCACAAAACCCCAAAAACCTTTCAAACCACTCTGAGGGGTTCTAGTGCTGACTACTTAATACCTCCACTTTGCTCAAGCCCACAGCCCGCCTTTCTGCCTCCTCTTGCAGGGGTGACTGCCCTTTCTGTTTCAGTGAAAAAATACAGAAGAAATAAAAAGTAAATTTCAATCTATGGAAATCCCAGTTGGCTGTGCTCCCACCCAAGGCTAGCCTCTCCCCTGAAGGAACACTCGATCGATCTCATGGTTCCTCTGTGACCTACTCCCTGTGTTGCCAATGCCTTCTGGATATCTTTCACCAGCACACGCGCACAAACACTTAATTGCCCCCACCTTCAAAACAAAACAAAACAAAGCAAATCTCTCCTCTGATCCTAGGTCTGTCCTCAGTAGTTAGCCATTTTCATTTTCTTTCCGGAAGGTTCTTGCATGTCTGTTTATGTTTTCTGCTTTTACTTCCTGACCCAGTTTCCCCTGTGCCCACTCCAAAGAAGTATTCTCCCCAAATTCTCATTGCATTACACTTGTCAGGATCTGTCTGGTATACAGAGCCAAGTCAATTAATTCTCCATCACTGTCTTGAGTGTTTTTAAGGAACACTCAATGGACGTAGTTCATCATCCCTCCTTTAAACACTGTCTGCATTTGGTCCCCAAGATACTACATTTCCCTGACTTGCTATTTTGTTCTTTTTATCATTCTTAGTTTCCTTAGAGGAAACTTCTGTTTTGTACAGATAGTCTCTGTATCAGACTATGCCCCGGCTCAGGCTTCTTCTCTTCCTTATTTACACTTACTCTATTACTCATTTAGCTGCACAGTTTGGCAGATTTCTGCAGTATTTACAGTTATATATTATGGCTAACCCTTTCACTGCCTTGCCCTCTGCTGCCTACACAGATGCACATGTGGAGCTTTAAACGGCAGCTGATGTTAGCAAAGAACTTTCTGTTCAAACGTGAGTATTCATCCAGTTGCTCAGGCCAAACCATTGGAGCATCCTTGAGTCTGTCCTTCCTCACATTCCACATTTGATCTTGATAGGAAATCCTGCTGGCTCTAATTTCCACGTAGGTCTGACACAGAAGTACTTCCCATGTATTCCTGCCTACCCCAATACCACAGGCCTAACTGCTACCACTGTCTCCCAAGTAATCCCCCAGTATTTGTACCATGGAAAGAGAAATTCTTTAAACCCATGTCTGATTTATTTATTTTTCTTCCATGGCTTTTGGTCTTCCAGGGCACCCACAAAGTTCACAGTCCTTGACTCTGCTCACCGCGACCTGGCATTGCTCCAAATCCATCCCTGCCCACTCTCTGGCTTTCACAGCACTATGGCCAGGTAGCTTCCTGCTCCTAGATCTCATCAAGAACATTCCTGCCTCTGGGTCTTAGCATGCCCTATTTCTCTCTGGAAATCTCTTCCTTTTTGTACCTGAGCGGCTCAGTTCCTCACTTTATTTTAGGCTCTCTCTCAGAGAACCCTTTCTTCTGAGAGGCTTCATCTGACGGAGTATCCAGGCTAGCCCCCTGCCCATTGCTCTTGCTGGCACTGCCTGGCATTAGAGTGCACTTTTATTTATTTTATTGCTGTCTGCCCCACTCCAATAACAGTCTTCTCCAGAGAAAGAATTTCACACTACTGTTTATGTCTGACAACCAGATACAGTGTTTGGCACAGAGACACTCTGAAATAAATATCTGTTCAATTGACAAGTGCTGGAAGCCATATCTTACCTTGGCAGACCTCTTATTTAGCTTAGCCTAATGTGCATATAACTGAATTTAACCATAAGTTAATGTTCATTATAGGAACCCATGACTCAATGAGCCTAGATCGTTCTAGATGATAAGAGATTCAAAAGAGTAAAATGAAAACACCTGCTTCTGTGACGGGTCTACCTAGAAGAGATCCCTTCTTAATTGTGCTAAAGCTAAGCTACTGGAAAATTGAGTAAACTGGCTGAAATATTCTTGACGTTAGTGTGCCCTGAAATCCCTACACTGTCTACTAAATGGCCCAGCCTAAATTAACTAAAGAGTAGTGATGTGGAGTAAAAGGAGACACAGTCTGTATGGGCTGAAAGTCAGGACGAGGGTGGTCAATGCATGGCTGTTACAGGAAAGTGGGGTAGATGACAAGGAAGTTGGTCTTTTGGGCATTGCTAGTATTTCGTCTTGAAACAATGTGCTCTCCCTGTCAGATGAAGACTCTTATTTCACTGTGGTTGTTTTGGTGCTATTTTGGCATGGGTGCACTGGGAAGCACATTATTCCAGTCACACTCAGGGATGCTTGACAGTTAGAAATGGCACAGCTCTTCTGATGGCTTCACACCTGAACTGTACAAAAAGGTACCTCTTGAGTCCTAAATATAGGTAACAGAAAGAGGGAAGAGCCATTCACGGACCTCTGAATGCATGTGCAGTTTGGGGGAAAACTCCTCCAAATGCCATTTCTGAAGGAGGTAACAGATATTAAAAAACAGAATCCGTATCATACTGTAGACATTTTAAACTAATTTTGATATGGAGAAGGGAGAAATGGGGAAATTTACCCAGTCTAAGACTGTTACTCTTCATTCACCCTCCCAATGCCTTCCATGCAACCTTTCCTACCATAACCGGGCAGGTTTGTTTGTTTGTTTGTTTGTATTTTCAGAGTACAGAATTGGTACAAGGAGGAGAAAAAGCAGGGTAAGGCTGCGGTAGGAAGCAGCCGAATAAACAAACAAATAAACAGCAGAAGGTGAGAGGAGGCAAGGCGAAAGGAAAAAATGCGGCAGATACAGACAGACTTCACGGTTTGCAGGCGCAAGGCGTAGAACCAAGACTTCACTAAGCGGAGACCCTAAGGCCCAAATGCACAAAGAATGATGATGTAATTGCTCCCATGACTGCCGAGTCTGGAGGGGAGCAATTACATCATCACCAGTGGAAACACAAGAGAAGTGTGAAACCCTTCACACAGAGTCTCTGTTCCTGAAACATCCTACTGCCTGATGAGAGTTTTCCAGCGAGCCTGTGATTCAGTCGGCCCTGTTTACTAGAAGAGGTCAGGAGGAAACATTCGTGCTCTTCACACCAACTCACTTTCCTCCAGGGGTGATTCTACTTTGATGGTGGCGTGATTCACACAGGCCGGTGAACAGGAGCCTGAAATTTGCAGGCTTTGGCTAACTCGTTCACAAGGTGGGATCCTACCCCAGAACTTTATTTTTGGCTTTATTCTGATATTTTATAGATGCTTTTAGCATCTTACTCCATTTTTTGTGGGGGTCATAGAAAAGAGACAGGTTTTACAGGCTTCACAGGTCTAGTTGTAAAAGCAGACGTGAGAAGAAAAAAATAGCTTTCCTAAGGTTTGTTTTTAAATCTAGATGCCAGTTAAACATCGCTGTCCCATGGTGCTGAGAGCGCTGGGTCTTTGTTGCTTAGACTCTGCATCCATAATTTCTCAGACTAAAAGCCTGGGCTGCCCTTTGCCTGGCCAGTTCCTTCCAGCCTTCAGGTTTTCACCTTGACGGCTGCTTCTGAGGGAACTTCCTGGACTCAGGGCTTGGGATAGCTTTCCTGCCGCATGCCTCCATCTTACATTGCATCACTCCTTTATAACCAGTTTTAACTAGTTCATCACTTGTCACCCTCACAGAGAAGCTTTCAAGAAGATGGATTCATTGTGGTTTTCTAAGAGGTACCTGGGACGTAATGGGAACCCAGGAAATCCTCGTTGTCAAAGTGAATGAATAAAATGAGTTGAATGAATGAATGAGTTCATGAATAAATGATGAGTCTAAGTTCTCTTTCCACAGCTAAAGCGAATTACATTTTTATCTCCGTAGCATCCCTATGTGGGATGAGAGACAGTATTTGTCCCCACTTTCCAGGCGAGGATTTAGAAGATCCTCAGTCACAAACCCTTGGTTTTGGGCTACAACAGCCCCTTTGCCATCCCACCCAAGCACTCACATCCGTTTAGCTGTATTTGTATGTCCCTCTAAAATATCTTTCCCAACCCTAGGAGAATCCAACCTCTATCTTGAAAGACACACAAAAACTGGCAAGTGTTGCCTACAGCAAGGATCATAGAAAGATGGATCTTCATTCCAATCTCATTTGTTCTGTTGAAGTTTTAGAGACACACATGCGACTGCATCTCTCTTCCAATGAAAAGAGGTTAAAACAAAAACCTGTGTACTAAAAAGGTTCCCATATACTTTCTAAACTTCCCTTTGTATGCACTTTCTACATTCTCCTATAATTTATCAATTTCTCTCACTTTTGAAATTTTCTATACTTCAATTAGTGTCAATTCAATTCAAGGTCCTCTTGGGGCCTTGAAACACTGTATCATCCTTCCCAATTTCTCAATCAGAAGCTTATCCAGTTTCATTCACTGACATGTCTAGAGTGTACAAAAATTGTTGATCTACTCTGTTTATCTTTCCTCATTTACAAAGTTGTAATAGTACTGACAGTGATGATAACCTCGCAGGGTTGGTGTGATAAGTGATAAAAACACTTAGCATAATGTCTTGTTTAAAGCAAATATATAAGAATTTCTACTATTATTTATTCAACGATGAGTTTTAAATGACTCTTACATACCAGACACTATGTCAGGTGGTTGTTGGAAGCTCTGATTTCTCATTTTACTCTCTACTCCTACCCCTTGCCAGACCATGTCAGATACACTCAGTAGATCAGTGCTGAATGCAATCTTTGAAGGTCAGTCTATAAATAGCAAAATCCCTGATGCTTTGAACTCTATTCCAGTGCTGCAGATAGAGGTTTTATAGCATGGGATTAAATTCTTTTGAAGAAGAATCTGGACCAATATATTGGCATAGAATGGGCCAGTAGCTGCACTAGGTTGGGTCAAGCATAGAACCCAGGCATTTGTCCCTTATCTCTTACTCAACATGTATGCACCTAATTTTTGGAGAGTCATTAATCATAACTCATATATCCCTGTAGTGGCCAATACTGATGATGAGGTTATGCAAATTCAGGGTGAGGGAATGAGGATCTGAGCCAACTGATTCCTAGACATGATGTGACAACATGTTTGGTCTTTGGTGTGGATTCTTCAGGATGTGAGCTTATCATTTTATATCTAATTCAAGTGCTCATGGGAAGATTAGGCACAAGCTATGAAAATATCTGTGAACTGCAGTTAATGGCCCAGATCGATGAGGACCATAATGTTCTGGCACGAATGATGAGGGGGAGAGCAGTATCAGAGACCAACAAAAATGATATTGTTACACAAATCAGTGTATCCAATGGACTGAAGAAACCTGAGGCTGGCCTTGCAGGAACTCCAGCTGGGGTTATATCCATTGTAAAGAGCATAAGGCTTCCTGAGAGCCTAATAAATATTAACATTGTGACATAAGCACGATAGGTCTGTCTTCTCTAAGGGCAAGAAATTAAAGATGGCTCCCAGTAAAACATAAAGAACAAGGCATAAAGGTTTGCCTGCAGTTGTTTGCCCAAAGGATAGTAACTCATCACCGTGGCTCTCAGATGCAAGTCAAGACGCTATATCGAAGCTGTGTCAAATAAGCACGCCATTCAATATTAATTAATCAACTGTCACTTAGGAGAATTTCCTTTACTTGGGCAGGGACATGTGGATTCTTCGCTTCTCACAGATCTGACTGGGAACTGAAAATTGAGCTGGAAAGAAAGGTGCTGACTTGTACAAGACTCGAGCTTCTTTGCTGGGTTGCCCTGACGTGACTGACCTGTCTCATTTGCAAGGCACTTCTATTTGAGTTTTATTGGGGTTTCACAAAAGAGTCCATATTTAAAAATAGAAGCCTGACAAAAATTGAACCAATTTTAGAAGATGGAATGCAAGCAAAGAATAGTTGCCAAGTGGTGTGTTCTGGGCCTGGGCTGTCACTCACTAACAAGTGACCTCTCACCCTTCAGCAGAACATTTGTTAGCTACACCTGAGCTGCCACAGGCAAGGTAGCCAAAACAAAAATTCGCCCCATAGTTCTTAGTCACCAAGTATCCCAGCAATGATGGGGTTCAGACAGGATGCAGTGAGGAAGGCCAAGCTCTACCTATGAGATGCTTGGCTCGGCAATCTACACTCTCAAAGTGGGGCTGAGCAAGGGCTGCCTCATCTGAGACTTGAGCAAGAGATTCCATTTACAGCATCCCCGCATCCCTGGCACGTTCCCGGGCTTTTCTTAGAAAAGTCCAAAACGGATTTGCAGTTATGAAAACCCCAAGACCAAAATGCTCTAGCCCTCAGGATTTCCCCATCCCCTTCCTAAAGCCATCTCTACGCCAGGCTGTCTCCTACAATATAATCAAACCCTAAGACGGAGTTGCCCATTCCACTCACACGGTCAGCCCAGCATCACCACTTAGCACTGGTGCTCTTAAAATAACTTTCCTTATAGCACTGACCCATTGCACAGAAAACAATAGCTTGCGTGCCTTGGAGAGAAGAGTCAGCGGGATGGGAGAGAAGTCCGGCTACCAGTTGGGCCCACTACAGGAGCCTCTTTGACCTTAAATTTCTCGATTTGCATTTCCCACATTCTATAACCAGCCCCAGGCTCCAAAACTCCCAACCTCTCCCCTTTTTGCTGCTTCAGAATCATCTTTTAAAAGAAAGCGTGACCACACTGAAGCCACCGTCTGTTGTCAGCCAAAGGTCTGAGGTTTCTCACTTCTACCTGTTTCCTCTGCCACCTTTGCTCTACACCGGACCATGTCCTTTGTCTGCTGGTGCATGTGTGAGAGCCACTTTAAACAGCAAGGATTCAGGACAATTCTTCCAGAGCTCTGCTCCACAGCGTGGGTCATTGCCAGAAGGGTACCCACCCCAAACCCACCCATCCAGAACTTCAGCCTGAGTTCCTTACACCAAGAGGCTGATTATGAATGTAGCAGGTGCCTTTGGCTTCTTGTTTCCTTAGAAACTAGTGCCCATGGGGCTAATCCCTGGAACCTGAGGTTCAAGGAACACATTAGTTTCTTCCTCTTTGAAAGACACAGTAGAAATCCGGAGGCACTCTTTAAAGATGAGGCAACTGAACCATACACCCCAGCCCGTGTCTCCTCTATCCCCAAAGCTCTGATTCCAAATTGCTGAACACAGGACTCAAACCCTTAAACAAATGGACACTCACCTGTTCCGTAGCTCAATTCAAAAGCCAGGGAAAGAAACAGAAGCATGCCCAAGGAAAGGGACCTGTTGGGATCCATTAGCCGGCAAAGAAAGGGACGCGGTGCCTGGCTGGGAGCCGGGCAGCTGCTCACAGTTGCCCCGGCAGAGGCTCTAATCAGATAACGCTGCCTCTGCCGTCAAGTTTACACATCAGGAACCACCGAGTTCCTGAACCAGCTTCCTGTCTCAACTGGGGTTTTTTTTTTTCTTTCTCTTCTTGAGCCTCAAGGATTGCTCATATGTGATCAAGCTTAAATCACTTCGTTGTTCTTGAGAAGCCTAAGTCAGGTGTCTAGACCCATGGGAGCCAGGAAAGGACCTGTGTAGTCACTTCAGTCAAACTCTGGTTTGAGGCAGAAACGTGACCCCTCTCCACCCTCCCTTTTCTAAGTGGCTTCCAGGAAATGCGTATCACAAGTTCTCTGAGTAGGTCTGTCTGGTAATTCTTGGGTCCTGAAAAGACAGACCCTGGACAGGCTACCTCCAAATGAGGTAATTCCGAGCTCAGGTTCTGTAACTAAACTTCAGTGAGATAATAGTCTTACTTCTTACTTGTTCCACAGTCTCACTGAACACCTCTGTAAGATACAGAGCTCCAGTCACAGACGGATGGGGGCAAGAGTGGACCACTGACCAACAGCCCATTTCCTTGACAGACACAATGTGGCAGGATCAAATTAGTTCTGTTCGGCCTTCAATTTAGAGCCGGTGTGTAAGTTGTCTCTATGGAAAGAACTTGCTGTGGGAACAGAACACTAGAAAATTCTATGATCAGGGGGCACACAAGCAGATTTTGAAAGATGAGGCTAGGTGTGTGTGTGCGCGCGCGCCTGCCACAGTTGTACATGTGGATGCCAAAGAACAACCCTTGGAGTCAGCTCTCTCCTCCCATTATGTGGGCTCCAGTCACTAAACTGAATTTGCCAGGCCTGTATAGACAGCGCCCTTATCCACCGAGACATCTTGTTGGTCCCCAGTCTAATGCTTTTAGAATCCATTGTCGTAATCAGAGATGCTCCACTCTTGGCCTGCCCAAAGGTCTGAGGGTAGAAAGAGCTGGGGACAGAGGAAAGCTGGTCTTTTACCCTTTCTGTTTTCCCTTTCCATCTTCCAGTATCCAACTTCATAGTGGTAAGGTACCTTCCAAGCTCTACACTTAGTGTCATCACTGTGGGAACTAGAAATCTGCCACATGTGGAGTTAATACCTTGGACATTGACAAATAATATAAATTAGAGTTTCCTTCCTTCCATCCTTCCTTCCTTCCTTCCGTCCTTCCTTCTTTCCTTTTCCCTTTGTTTTGGCTTTTGAGACAGGACTCACTATGTAGTTCTGGCTGACCTGGAACTCACTACATAGATCTGTCTGTTCTCACACTCTGTTTCCCAGCCATTAAATCAGTTTTCAAAAATGATGTAGGTCCTGGAGTCACACAGCTACTAAAATGAAAGCTCCACTTGCTGTGCTTCTTCCAAGCCCCACCCTCTCTTCCAAATGTTTACTTCATCCTTCCAAAATGCACCATCTTCTTTTTAAAAATTTTTTTTTCATTTACTTCTTTGACAATTTAAAATTTTATCATATTTATGCCCCCATTCTTCCAAAGACATTCACCCAACTTTGTGTCACCCAATTTTGTGCTGCCCAAATATTCTTGGAGGTGTGGTCTTCTACTGGAGCACAGTTGACTTATCAAAGACTATATACTCTCAAAGAAAACTGCCCCTCCCTCTTCTAGAAGCTGACTACTATTAATGCTTCCATGCTAGCAATGGGATTTTGTGCCAGCCACACTCTCATCTCCAAGCTGAGATTTGGTCTTGCTTGAGTTTGCACAGGTTCTGTGTATGATGTTAATATTCCTATGAGTTCATATGTGCAGCTGTCCTCTGTGTCTTGAAGACAGTTTCCTTGTAGTTGTCTACCTCCTCTAGCTCTTACATGCTTTCTTGTCATTTTTAACAAAAATTTCAATTGTTTGATTTTACCAATGAAGACTTGGGAACCAGGCGCTGGGATCAAAGCTTGCTAGCTCAGAGAAGCAGAGAAAGCACCCAGCTGACCTTCCTCTTCAAGTGATGGCCCAGAAGCTTCCCACCTTCTACCTGCCATCTCAAGACAGACTCCTCAAACTCAATGTCCCTCCCTTCCACTCCTGTGTGTCTCTCTTTCCATCCTAACTCCCTCTTACTCTCTGTGGTTTTTTTTTCTTGATAATCCTGTTCACTTCCTGTCAACTGGTTGCTTACTCCACCTCTCAACCTATGGTTGACTTTATTTAATCCTGTTTACAATATTCAAACTCTTGTATTAAAGCGGAATGTTGAGGCTGAGCCATACCACAACTAGAAACAGGTTTTTCCTGTAAATAACACAATTTTGGGGTTCACAGTGTTCTCAAATACCCTGCAACACTCTCCACCCCCACTCTTGGGAGGAGTGGGGTGCAATGGAGATGTTCCATTTACAGATGAGTGTTTTACAATTTCTTATTCTCTGAACCTTGCCCAATTGTGGGATCTCTGTGCTAGCCACCCACAACAAATAAAGTTTCCTCTGATACAACTGAGATTAAATAAGAATGGCTCCCATAGGTTCCTGTGTTAGAACGCTTAGTCATCAAGGAGTGGCACTACTTGAGAGGGTTTAGGAGGTGTGGCCTTATTGGAGGAAGTGTGTCACTGGAGGTGGGCTTTGAGGTTTCAAAAGTCCAAGCCAGGCCCAATAACTTTCTCTTCCTTGTGTCTGTGGATCCAAATGTAGAATGCTTAACTCCTTCTCCAGGTTCACGTCTGCCAGCATGCTGCCACTCGACCTGCTCATAATGAACTAAACCTTTAAACCTATAAGCAAGCCCCAATAAAGTGCTTTCCTGTGAGAGTTGCCATTGTCATAGCGTCTTTTCACAGCAATAGAACATAGACTAAGACAAGGGTTGAGAAATGCACTAATCTATAGGTATGATGAGAAGTCTAGAATTAACTCTCTTCTAGTCTCATCTTGAGGAATTTCTGCTTCGTGCTCAAACATGGGTTTAAACCAATAGAAAGTCTTTATTAATTAGCTGGTGGCTATACCTTGTGTTCAAGATCCCAGGTTAGCACTGAGCTTTTCTTAGGGTGAGCTTTTAAGCAAAAAACAAAAAACAAAAAAAAACCAGAACAGAACAAATAAACAAACAAAAAAACAACAACAAAAAACCCCAACAAGAACAAAAATAACAAAACAAAAAAACATGTTAGCTAGAAGTGGAACTATAGGAGCAAAAAGCAAGGTTACTACATTTAGAGACTTTTCCAGAACTGTGAACTGCAGTGGACTAGGTCTTTGTTTTCAGTTTTGGAAGGTGCTATTGTCTGCTTGCTGAGTTGTACAGCCTGAATGGTACTTTCCTCATGGAGTCAGTTGTTCTAAGGTCTGGAGTCCTGTTATAGCCTCATGATTCTCTCTTCAGACCCTGCAGGTCTAGGGTTTCCATATGTTATTCCATAAATCTTTGAAACAGTAAATAGAAGGTATAATTTCCCTATTTTACAGATGGAGGTATAAGAGTTGCTACACACACACACACACACACACACACAGAGAGAGAGAGAGAGAGAGAGTGAGAGAGAGAGAGAGAGATCCTAACTCTACATCTATGCTTTCTCTGTTCACCATACGATTTCCAGTAGAGTATTCTAGGCAAGAATGTTTGTCCATGGTGACCAGTAACTTATTATCTATAAAATATGTCTTCTAGTATGATCAGCAGGAGAATCCTGGTTTCCCGTTCCTAGCCTCCATCATCTGTGGCACAGAATCACTTCCTTACCTTTGGCTGCAGAATGCTTCACCCTGAGAGCAAGAGGACTGTGCAGAGAACAGCTTCTCCCACACTTCAATAAGGTCATCTCCAATTCTTTATTTTTAATTAGTATTGTGTGTGTGTGTGTGTGTGTGTGTGTTGTGCATGCATGTGTGTGAAGGTGCGCTCATACATTCATATACAAGTGGAGTCCAGAGATCAATGTCAGGTCTATTCCTCTATAGCTGTCCACTTTATATTTTCAGGCAAGGTCTCTCACTGAACCAGGAGCTAATCGCTTCAGTTAGACTGACTGGTTAGCAAGGCTCTGAGATCTGTTTGTCTCTGTTCCCCTGCTCCTTGCACTAGGGTGACTTGGCACACTGCACCTGGCTTTTATGTAGGTGTCAGAGATCCAAACTCAGGCTCCCAAGCTTGCATGGCAAACTCTTTATTGTATTAGTCGTCATCCCAATCCCAATATCCAACTCTTGAATGCAAAGATATTCTGTCTCCTAAGATTTGCTACCCATCTTTCTCTTGAGAGTTCATGGTTCCTAGTGGCAAAGTAGCCTGCCTGCCTGCCAATACCTGGGGCTGATGCCTCTCACCATCTTGGTTTCCCAGCCAATGACAATCTTCAACATGACTTCTAACTAAAAGTTCTCTATTGCACAAGATATCTTGGCAACAAAGTCACTGAGGGGTGGCCAGGTCACCTAGTCAGATGAGGTTTATGATGAGCACATTTATCTGGGTAAGAGAAAAAAAAAACCACAAAAACAAAATGAAAGTGCAAAATTTCCCCAAATTCTGAGCATCTCCTAGAAGACTTAATTGCAGAGTCTAAAACTTGCCCCGGGGAAAACACTGGGAAAAAATACCCCTGTGCCTACCCTGATGGGTAAGATGAGGAAGCCTCGAGGGATGGAGGTAGAAGGGGCAGGTATCTGAAACAAGGCCTGAGGGGATCAGCCACACAGAAAGCTGGTGTGTGTGTGTGTGTGTGTGTGTGTGTGTGTGTGTGTGTGTGTGTGTGTGTGTGTTAGGGCCCAAGAGGTTGCAATAAAGAGAGAGCTGGTAAGAAACCAGATGAGAGGAGATCTGGCTCAGATCCAGGCCTAGGCATTGTCCAGTCCTTATCTCGTCCGTGGAGACTGAGATTTCCCACTCCAAGTTCATAGAGTCTTTCACACCGGTGCATTCCCCAGAGCTTCAGAATCAGTTCAGAGCAATGACCCCTGGGGATTGAGAGACACTGTGAACTTCCTCTCCAAACATTTTTCTTTTTCACTGATACTCCTGCCATCAGACCCCAGAGCCAATGTGGTGTGAACAGCCTCCCTTCTGGGGCTAGCCTGGACTTAGTGGCCTCTCACTGTTCATCAGAGTCCTTGGCTGAGTGCCACTACATCACAGACTGCCCCCACGGCACTTTTG